CAGCACCACGCAGCTGCCAGGACTGAGTCCCGCTGCTGCGAATGTTAAGTCCCGGCAGCATGCCTGCCAATGCCAGGGACCTAGGTGGGTCCTGGCTACGATCTCCCAGCCCTGGGGGTGCGTGGAGCCCTCGGAGCCAGGAGATTGCAGCTGCTGCAGTCTTCCAGCCTTGGGGGCTCCCCTCACTCCTGGGGCAGGGAGCTGCAATCTCATAGCTCAATGGGGCTCTCAACCACTGGAACTTGCTACTTACCAGTGCAGGGGGAGCCCAGGATCGTCCCCCCGCATAGGCAATAAGGTGCAATGGGATCTAATGCATGATCTCATAAATGTGCATCCTGCCAAGTATGTGTGGCATGGCGGGAGGTGTGATTGTGTGGATCATGCATTAGATCTCATTACCCCTTCACCTGCATGTGTAGAGAAGGGCTGAGTCTATCCCAAAAATACAGTTGGTCAAATAAAAGACATCACCCACAAAACTCTTTGCCTCGCACATAGACCGCTGGACCATCACAGCTACAAAAAAATCACTCCAAAACTACCAAAGAAAGATATAAAAATTTTCTGCCTACCATGGAAAATTTACAAACAAAAGAAAAAAAAGGAAGCTGAGGACAAGTAGCAAGGTGGGCTGGCACCAGGGTGTGGCACACCACTTGATTCCCCCACTGCCTACCCCCAACTTGTGGCTGACCCACTGAAGTGGTATAGGAAAAAACAATTAGCAGTGTTGAACGACTAAATTTATTCCTATGAAGTGTTATACTGTGTTGGAGAGGTATTAGCTTGAGTGTCACATGCATATATAGAGGTAATATCTCAATGAATAGTCTTCACTGAAAGCTGGTATAGACATTAAACTTGATAATGATTCAAAATTAGTTTAATTTGGTGAACATCACATACTAATAGGAGAACAAAGTTGGCCCTTAAAAAAATGTTGTGATGGCATGCTGAAATAAAACAAGTTTTAGCTGCTGTTAAAATGCTGAGAACAGCTAGATGTAACATGAGGAAGACAATGTGTTACTTGAGATGAAGATGGTCCAGAACAAGTTGGAAGAAATGTAGCAAAACCCCCAGTTTTCCTTTTTTTTCTTTTAAAATGCATTTCCTGCCCCTCCCCAACCATTTCTGACATTGTCTTCCCATCTCTATTCCCTATAGATAAGTATAAGTAAGTTAAGATGTAGGAAAAGTTTTTACATTTTATTTTACGTAGAAAGTTTTATTTTTCTCTCCCCTCTTTGCAAATAAGTGCTCTGCTATTTTGATATAGATATCCACTGTTTTATAAGTGATAATGATTATGTTTGTACTGCTTTTATATTGTGTGATTACTGTTTTAGGCTTATATATGTAAGTTAGTGTAAGTCATGTCAAGTTTCCATCTTGCAATGTCAAGCCTCCATCTTATCCCCATGCCCAGTTGTGTAACCTATGACTCACACCTACCCCTCCCATGTAACTTGGTTCCTGAATGAATGGGGATGAATGCAGGTGCTTGAAAGACAATGGCAGTAGGTCTAAAAATAGCTCCCTCTGAATGACCAAACCATCAACACCAATACCTGGACCAGCAACCCAGCCCTTGAAACCACCCTCAGCATTCAAGGAACAAAAGATGAGGCAACCCACCATTGTGCCAAGGCTGCACATGCTCAGTAAGAACACCTGGAGCCCTCTGGAACAGGACTGACCTTGCCTGGACAGGCCCTCCTCATAGGAGATCAGAGGTAAATCTGCCACATAAAAAGGGGTAGTGAAGACTGACTTTTTGGGATGCCCTTTCCACCTGGACCAGACCAGCTCCACGTCACACCACCTATCCACCCCAGAAGCCCTGCTGGCAACCCCACTCTGGACAACACTGAGCTGAAGGAGACCCCAACTAGCCATCAAGGACCCACTTTCAGCCTGGGATAGGTAGGTATCACCTGCATATTTCCTCCTCTAATTTGGACTCTCTCTCTCTCCTCTGGGACTTCAGCTCCTGCACCAAGCCTCTTTAACCCCTGCTGCCATTGTCTGTGTGTGTGCGTGTGCAAAGGAACCAATAAGATATCATGTCACCATCTCCCCTGTTCAATAAAACCACTATCACTTGTAACCCTGAGTTGGGTTGTGTTTTACTGAGCCCTGGTCCCTTCCCTATCTTAAATTCTGGTCTCTCTCTCTCCCCCTCTTGGCTCTCAGCCCTGTTCCCGCCACTTTTTGCCTCCTGTCCCTTTTCTGCAGGCTCTTAGCCCTGTTGCTGTCTGCAGGCTCTCAGCCCTGTTCCTGCCACTTTTCACCTCTTTTCTGCAGGCTCTCAGCCCTGTTGCTTTCTGCAGGCTCTCAGCCTCGCTTCCGCCACTTTTTGCCTCTTGCCACACCTCTTCCCAATCCCTATCTCTCTGCCTTCTCTTTTACTTTCCCTCTTTGTGTTCTCCAGCCTCCCCCACCGCAGACCCACTCCCAGTTTTCCTCTCCCCACGTACCTCTCGGCTCCCCTGTAGCGTCCTTGCTCTGGCTCCAGCCTCTGGGCTTCTCCCCGGCATTGCTCCTTTGCTCTGCCAGCTTTCTGCTTTCAATTAACACCAATTAACCTTAAGTTACCCCAACTTCCCTCCAGTCTGCCAGTTCTAATCCCAGTACCAGCAACTTTCATCTCAGTCTCCACCAGCAGGAACCCCAAGCTTCAGCTCCTCAGCCCAGCTCTCTTTCTAGTCTACTGGTTTTAATCCTGGTCCCTGCAACTTTCACCCACTACACTTTCACTCTCTCTCTTACCTTAACCTTCCCCCAGGTATCCCAAGTACACCAAGCACACACATATATACACACCGCAACACCCAAGTTAGGAACTCACCTGTGTGTATGTGTAGGTGAGTGGTATGTATGTGTACTGATATACGTGTATGTCACTGTGTGCATGATATACAAATTAGTGATCCGTGTATGTGTATCAGATGTGCCAGTACTGGTGATTGATTCTGGTCTAATTTCTTTTGGTATGTATAGTATGTGTGTGCGCCTGAATTGGTAGTGTGTGCGTGCCTGGTGGGAGTGCATCCACCGAGAGAGAGAGCGCGCGTGTGTGTCTCTGTGTGTGTGTACCTAATTGATTTTTGAGTGTGTGCATGTGCCCTCCTGTCTAACAGCGCAATATTGAGATCCTGAGAGTTGGCCTGACCCCACAGGGCAACAGAAAGACTGGAAAGGATCAGATTGGCAAGATCTCTAAAACTGATGCTGATCACCCAAGCTTAGTGAGGAGTCCAACGGGAGGCTGAGACTCTCTTTTAGCCTCAGGGTCCTGAAATTGAGAGGACCGACTGATTGAAGAAGTCCCCCACACAAGCATGCCATCCAAGAACTAGGTGTTCGGCTTCAAAAAATAAGCGAGTGAGAAAATGACACAATGACTACTGCTTCGAAATCTACAATTTCCCCTGCCCAATTAAATTATTACCACCTAGAGATGCAAGTGATCTGCCTCCTTTCAGATTTTAGGCCCCCAACCAAGGCAACGAAGAGACTGGAAAAGGCTGTATTTGAAGGTGCCTGTGCTTAACCCTGTAAAAATGTATGGGGAGGAGAGCAAAGTAATTTGCCCATCTAAGATCTATAAATGCAGAGGGCAAAAATTTTAATCTACACGATGTGAGAGATAAAAACAAATATATGTCCAAACTTTCCTGGGTTTGCTGCTGTAAGGACGATCAGTTATACTAGTCATTGCAGTTTACTTGTTAGACATTTTCCAGATTTGATTCCATTTGACTTCATTAGTATAGCATGGTAGCTAAAGAGACTCTTGTTCAAGTTGGCTACCAGCGAATGCCCACATACATCTCCTGCCCTCTTACTGGCTGAAGCTGCTGGAACCTCAGGCTAACAGAAAGAAGAGCTTTCCCTGTGCCAAAGGGATCAAAGCTGACAGCACAGTTCTAGTTATTCTGGAGCTGATCCAAAAGGTTACCCCACATATCTCCCATTTTTCACTCTGCAGCAGAGAAAAGTCCTTGCAGTGGTGGAAACACAATGAAGTCATGGCTGGCCCTTCAAGGACAGAGCCAAGCCCTTCCCTGCCAGTGAACAACAGGGCTAGTCAGTCTTCAAAACAATAGCTGAAGACCGATTAACACATTTGTGTAACTTTACATGAGACCAAGAGGATTTTAATCTAACCTGGACTGACACAGAAATGTCTGACTGGCTACAGGGATCTGGACTCCCTCTACATCTCTGCATGGTGGGAGAGAAGAGGAAGAACATGAGATGATAGGCAGGGGTTTATTTTTGTAACCTCAAGGGACACAGCTCTCTAGACCAGTGGGTCTCAGCTTTTTTTAGATTAAGAGCATCCCTCCACAACTTTCTGAATTTGGCAGTATCCCTGGTTAAGAACCACCATTTTACAGCCCCAGCTTACCTCAGTGGCTCTAAACTGGGGTGCAGGTGGAACTGTCCCATGTACTTACACTTTGGGGAAGTGGGGGGCAGGACAATGACCAGGAAGGGCAGTGGCACAGGTGAGTTCTCCTGCCTGTTTTAGGCTTCCCAGATAACCCTAAATGCAGACAGGAGCACATGCTTGAGTCCCAGCCCTCCCTGGACAGGGCACTTGTGCTGTGGCACCCTAGGGTGCTAGGGAACTCTGGTTGAAAACCATTGCTCTATGATGTTCTGCAATTATCTCCCCAACAGAAATGTATCACTAGAGCAGGAACTCATTATGCAACAGCTAAAGAACTAGTCACTTTAATTAATTTCTAAACTGGTGTACTTTCTGGTTGTCAACTACTACTAGGATAATACAAATTCTATTGCAGGCTCTGTAGTGGCTTACAATTTCAAGTCAACTATCACCACATCATTAGAAAAACATATTTCTATTCAGGATGGATTTTCTGTTAGTTTCTTTGTATATGAGTTTTAAAAATTTGGACTTGAACTACCTGCCTGTTTCAAAATGATATATAATTATATTTAATGCAGAATGTTCTAATTACCATAGTTACCACAAGAAAGAGGTTTGCCACATGTCTTTCCACATGAAGGGATGGGATCTGTGCATACTTTCCGTTCAATACATCCTAGCTCAAGTAATTTGCTGAGAGGAGTCTGCCCACAAGGGCAGCAGTGCACTGCTTGTGGAAGTCGTGGACAAATCTGGCAGGGCTGAGGATGGCACACTTGTACACAGCTGTGTCGCCCACAGTTTAATTTTCTAAAAAGAAAAAACAGAAGGCATTATATAAGGATATCATATTAACTGTGCGTGTCTACATATGGTCATATGGCACCATTGATACCACACCATCATTTAGTACTTCCTTGCTGTGCTTTGCTGCGCTCTGCTGGCCATGCACAGATTTTTTCGCCATACATCGCCATAGCGACATGCTATAACAGGGGAGCATGTCTCTACGGTGACACAGCTGCAGCGTGACGTTCGTGACCACTGATGCTACATTGCTGTAGTGTGCTGCTATGGAGACGCAGCATCTTGTAATAAAATGTAATCTTGAGTTTTTGGAGAGAAAAGGGCCCTTACCTGCCACACATCTTCTGACAGGAGAAGTTCCCAAATCCATCAGAGAGCTCTTCATTCGTTCCACACAACACATCTCGAAAGCTGCTCCCACAGTAACATACTAAGGAAGAAAAAAATTCAGAAAGGAAGAATAGCAACATTACCACAAACAGCATGGGAGGATACTGAATATTATACGTACACAACTGAAGGGCATGTGAAAAAGAAAGATGTGGGAACTGGTTTAAAAGCAACCTTTAGGTGTACTGCAGATGCTGTAGTTCAGTTGCATGCATTTCAGTAGCTGCATGCAGGCTTGAATTTTTACATTATTTCTATTAAAAAATATATTGTAACAAGAGCAGAGAGAAAAACATACTTCAGGGCCCACAGTCTAGATTAGTGAAGTATGATTTGACTGGCAAAAAAGATAATGCATCTTAAGTATGGCCAGTCATAGACATTATGCATACACCAGTATAAGTGACCAAAACCACATCTAAACCCATTACAGTACAGAAGTTCAGCACATGTAGACTGGTTTAAAAATGGTAGAACCTGGTCTAAGATGGATCCAAATGAATGTAGTATATCAGGCTTAAGTGATTTAGGCTAGAACTTCTGTACCAGATCCCCTCCCAATTCAAGTTAGGTCCCAGGCTCCATCAGAATCACAGGCACCTTTGTGGGCCCCACTCCGATCCCCTCCCTTACAGGTTGGTATGCGGGAACTCAGCCATGCTTGGCTGCTCTGAGCTGTTAGCAGGTGGGAGTGGGGAGGGAGTGTCTGTAGCTCATGAATTTTCTATATTTATATGATGTCCCTAGGTAGGGGGGGCACTCCACCAAAGCCAGAATTGTGCCCCTTGGTTCTCCAGAACAACAGGTGGAGCCAGCAGGAGACTGGCACAATTGCAAGAATCATGCTGGGTACCTGCTGCCACCACCTGCAATTTGCAGGAGGAGCCCTGAGGGGCCTGATTCTTCCTTCTGTGAAGCTCCCCTTTCCCTACTGCATGGCACAGGGATACAAGCGCCTTCTGCTGGGGGGCAGTGGCTCTGGTCTTGTTGCCTGGTCTTGTGCCAGCTTGCACAGGACCAAAGACAGGCATAACTGAGCAGGAGTAGGCAGGAGGCACGGCCCCAGCCTGAACCAGTACAGCTGTGTGCGGCGGAGGAAAGGGACAGGGCAGAGGCTTCCCCAGATTGCCCGCCCAAGTTGGCCAGCATGGCTCCTTTCCCCAGCCCTGCACCCCATCCCCCCTTCGGGCTATCAGTGGCAAGGGAAATGAGGAGGGACAGAGTCCCCCACTGCACGAACCCAGACCGTTCGGGGGGGGGGGGG